TTTTATCCGGATACATTAATTGTGAAACATTATACAACTACTTTGTTGAGATTAAAAAAGAAATTAAATATAAAATTAACTGTCAGTTTCCCAAATCATGCAAATCAAATTGATGTCAATCTCTCCAAATAATAGCTCCAAACAATTTAAATTTCAATTTTTTTTCTCTCAAATTCTCTCCCAAATCGTAAAAGTTTCAAAAAAAGTCAAAATTTTTATATAGTTATGTATTATATACAAAAAAAAAAGTATGAATATGATATAAACTGATTTATTTATAAAAACAGTGTTTCAGATACTTAACAACATGCGATACATCACAACATCTGATACATAACTATGTTATATTTGTCATATACATAACTATTAATATGATACAAACTGGTTTTGTTATAAAACATTAGTGTTTATGTATCAACAATAATATTTAATAGTGTCTACCGATACATAGCCTTCTACTAGTTGAATAAGGCTGGGTGTATGTGTCGGTAGTAAAAGATAACAACATTTGTAATATTTGTGTATCCAATACATAACTATGAACATGATACAAACTAATTTGTGTTTTAATAAATTAGGGTTATGTATCAAAACTAATATTTGAAAATGATATATTGTACATGATAAAATTGTAATGTATCATAAAGGTGAAACAAACGAATTATACATTAATTTAAGAATCAAAATCAACTAGATACATTAAAAGATCTGAACCCATATGTATCAGAAAAAGATGAACAACAAAAAATCGGAAAAAAGGTCAATCTGATTTGCTGAAAGCAAAAAAAATGATGAAGAAATCCTTCTACACTTTCTCTTTTGAGCTACATCAACTCCCGTAGCTTTTTTTCACTTTCAACAATGACGTCAACCATGGATCTAGACTCAAAGCCTTTACCGGAGCCCCCAACAACTCGGCTTTTTCCTCTTTTTTTGGGCGTTTTTTCCACAATCGATTTTAAAGTTGAAGATGCATCTTTCTTTGATTAAATTTGTAGATGAAAAAGCTAAAAAAAATAAAAATTAAAAATCAACTACTTGATGAAGTGGAAAGAAAAAAAATAGATGATGAAGAAGATGAAGAATAACTACCTCTTCAATAATTTGTAATTGATAAATCAGAAAGAGAAAAGATTTGAAATTCAAAAATAGAGTGATGGAGATAATTGATGATATGTAATTTTAGGCATAAAAAAAGGGAAAAAAAGTCTTGGGGTAATAATTTATAGTGATGTATCCGGAAAAGTGAGAGAAATTATGAAAAAGAGGGATTTTTGTATTTTTTTTTGGAATGGTAGGGAATAGGGCTGGACGTTCGGTCGGTTCAGTTCGGTTTGTAAATTTCGATTTGGTTTTTCGATTTTCGGTTGGCAAAAATATGAAACCAAACCAAACTGAAATAAATTCGGTTCGGTTCGGTTATTACAATTTCGATTCGATTTATTTCGGTTTGGTTTTCGGTATAACCAAATTTAATTAACAGTGTCCTGTGGGTGTTGTAGGTTGCGGTTCAAATAATACAACAATCAACAAACTTCTATAACAATCAACACTCAACAATACTCTCCAAACTACTCCAACAATCTATGCCATACAGTTTGTCTTTTGCCTTCAAATTTCAACAACATTTAACTTGCAACTTACCAATTAACAGTGACATGTGGGTTGTGGCTGTGTTGTTGTTCAAATAATACAACAATCAACATCAACTTCTATAACAAATAACAATCAACACTTAACAATACTCTCGAAACTCCAACAATCTATGCCATACAATTTTGCTTTTGCTCTCCAAACTCACTTAGTTGATATTCTTTATATAGAAGCATTAACCTTCGAGTCGCGAGCACTGAGGAGTTGCAGGCTGCGGCCTGCGAGCACTCAGCGAGGTGCCAAGGAGTAGCGGCTGGCCTAAGACTTTAGAGATGACGGACGACGAGCTGAGAGACGAGAGATGAGAGTTGAGAGACGAGCTGCGGCGTAAGTCGTAACTGAGACGAGACGACTGACGAGTGATGAGAGTTGAGAGATGAGAGCTTACTGTGATTTGTATTGTGTTAGGGATTTCAGGTTATCAGTTTAGGGATTTCTATTGGAATTTGGGCCTAATTTTGAAAATGGGCAGGCTGGGCATGGGCTACTGAAGTAATTTAATTAAGGGGTGTAAAGAATATATGTATAATTTCGGTTTTTTGGTTAACCGAATTATTTTAGCTAAAAACCAAAAACCAAACCGAAAAACCAAAATATTCAAAATTGAAATCGAAACCGACCGAAATAACCGAATAATCAAAACTGAAATTAAAAAAAGAATTGGTTCGGTCGGTTTTTCTGGTTTTAACCATATTATGCCCAGTCCTAGTAGGGAATAATAGAAAATAGGGTAAAAAAAGGTTGTGTAGTGAGGTAATTAATTAACTATTTTTTAAAATATCAAAATCATAATTATCTATTTATATAGATACTATATGTAAGTCAAAATTGAAAGATTATCATTTACTAATAATTTATTATATTATAGAATATTGAAATTGAACTTTAAAATACTAAGTCATATAGAATTAGTTTTGTATGACAAATGATATAATATTTTTCAAAATAAAATATCATTTTTTTAATACCACGGCATACCATGCCATATCCACCCTAAATGAATATATATAGTTCTATATATACATTGACCAAGCCCTCGTGGACCAACTTAAAGTAAATTCTTTGTGTTTTTCCATTTGGTTCCATAACATTTGTATTTGTAAGAAAAAGAAAATGGAAAATCTCCTACATTAGGTTATATAGTGTAATTTTGGTGCTTATGGTAGATAACCTAATCAACTTCTAGAATAGACCAGATACTCTTGCTACCTTTTTTTAATTTTAATTTTTTTACTTGTTTAATGGGCCATGCTGAAAGGAAAACTTTGGAGTAACTGGTAAAGTTGTTGTCATATAACCATGAGATTACAGGTTCAAATCTTGAAAATCACCTACGATAGAATAGGTCCTTGTGGTCCGGATTCTTCCTCGAACCTGCGTATAATGAGAGCTTTGGTTCACAAATTTCCCTTTTTACCCTTTTTAAAAGGTCATACTAGGGGTGTAAAAATTGAGCCCAAATATAGATAACCCGTCCAATTCGCCCAAAATTTTAAGGGTTGGACTCAAGATATTCGAAGAGGAATTGAGTTCAATCTCTACTCATTCAAGCTTTAAGCCATTTAAAGAGAATCATCAATTGAACCCAATTTAATTTCAATTTTAACTATGACTCTTTATTTGCATTAATGTAATGTATGTTCCAATTTGAAGGTATGAATTACTATCTATTTTATATCTTTTAGGACTTATTTATCCATTTGTTATTTTTTTATAAATATTTTTGAGTTAAAATTCAAATTATGGTTATAAAAGTTAAACAACTTAGAATTATTGAGATTTGACGAGTCAAATTTGGCGGGTCATGACCCAATCCAACTTTGAGCTCAACCCATTTGAGCCCAAAGAAAACTTGGGTGGGTCAAGACCCAACCCAATTTTTATTTCAACCAATTTTAATATTATCAATTTCAACTCAACCCTCTTATTTGACACCCTGGACCATAATATCAAGTAAGACTTTTCTTAGTCGCTAATCATCCAAAGACACGGACTCTGTACTAAAGGTAACTAAGAAGAAGTATTTAAACATGAAACATGAACTGTTGGTGTTGGGTTCATAGAACATTCCTAATGTCATATGCCAAAATCAAAATTGTCCATATACACTGCTCTTCTAATTCCCAAAAGGCAGAGCAAAGTTATCAAAACTTGATTTATTGAAATCCTTATCGTTAAAAAATTAAACTATTATTATTTAGTTAATAAATCGATGTTGAATTCTCTTATTTTTATATATTTTAAAATCTTTTAAGCAAATATATATTTTTATCCTGCCACAAAAGTCTCTCCAATATTTTTTATTAGGTTCCTTGGTTGTTATTGACTAAAACTTTCTAGTACTTTTCCTTACTTCTAGTTTCTGTTTATTTTTTTAAAAGTGACTTTGGGTACTATGTTATTGTTAACAAATACTCCCTCCGTCTCATTTTATGTGACATTATTTCCTTTTTGGTCAGTCCCAAAAAGAATATCACATTTTCTTATATGGTAAGTATTTAAAGATACAATTCCTCTTTTATTCTTGTTGGCCCCACTTAATCTTAAAAATAGTACTTCAATACATTTATGAGGAAAGAGAAAAGTGAGTCTACTTTTTAAAGGGCAATTTGATAAATATTTTAAAGCCTTTATTTATTTATTAAACTCCGTGCTCAATTAAATATTGCCACATAAAATGGGACGGAAATAGTGTCTTTTTATCTCAACAAAGTACATTTGTTCACTTGTGCGTACAAATATTAATATTCCATTCGTTTTGTTTGTTTGTATCTGCAACAAAAATAAGTTATGTACTTGTGCGTGCAAATACGATGCATTAAATATTATTCCATTTATTTTAGTTTATATTTAATTAAGTAGTCTCCTTATCTCAATTTATATTTATGTGGCAAATTTTAATTTTTTGAGAGTCATTTAATTTAAAATCTTTAACAAATAAATTAATACCTCTAGGCCAAGTTAAGGCAAAACAAAGAGAAAAAGAAAACTTACTGACACCGGATGTACACATCAAACCAATACATATATGTTATGTGTTTAAATTTATAGTTTATTTTATTTAACTATAATTAATTAATATGTGTTTTACTTTATTAAATCACGTAATAATAAAAATTGCATTAGTTTATTTTATACACCCGATGCAGGTAAGTTTTACCCGAAAGTGGGGGTGAGAGTTCAGAGTAGTCTTTAACCATACATAGTTAATATATGGATAAATAATTACAACCATGGTTACTTATATCATCATCTTCCTTGAACAAGTCGCCAGCCAAGTATCGCAAACACGTTGACCTCGCCTCTCTATTTATCTCCCCAATTCATAACTCCATTTTTTATCTCAAATTTTCACTACTGAAAAAACCATGGAGTATCGCACATTAGACGTAAATGTTGTCTCCGGTAAAGATCTAAACAAGGTCAATCTCATCACAAAAATGGATGTATACGTCGTCGTTTCAATCTCCGGCGCCGATGACGACAGATCTAATCAGAAAACCAAAACCCACGTTGATCATGACGGTGACAATAACCCAACCTGGAATTTTCCGATCAAGTTCACCATAGATGATAACGCTGCTGTTCAAAACCGTTTGCATCTTGTTTTCAAGCTCCGATGTCAAAGGGCGCTTGGAGATAAAGATATTGGACAAGTTGATGTACCCATCAAAGAGCTTCTCGAATCTTCCAATAGTAGTAATGGAAGTAAACAATTTGTAAGTTATCAAATCAGAAAACCTTCCGGTAAACCCAAAGGTCAACTCACTTTTTCCTATCAATTTAGTGATAAGATCACCGGTAATACTGTCGTTGATTCTAAAATTGAAAACCCCGTTACTGCTTATCCGGCGGTAAATCCAACTCCGATGGTGGGATCCACTTCTGTGTATCCACCGCCGCCGCAGCAAGGTCCAAGTGGGCTATACCCACCGCCTCCGACCTACGCTTGTGGTGGGAGTGGACCTGCTCCTCCACCGCCGGTGGGATATCCACCATCAGCAGCGGCATATCCACCACCTGCAGCGGCATATCCACCACCTGCAGCAGCAGGTTATCCACCGCAACCGGTGGGTTATCCTCCAGTGGCGGCGGGAGGATATGGATATGGATATCCACCGGCGGCGGCATATCCTCCGCCACCGCAGTATGGATATCCACCACAGCAAGGTGGACATGGATATGGGTATCCACAGGTGCAACGACCGCCGAAGAAGAACAATAATTTGGCGTTAGGATTAGGGGCGGGTTTGCTTGGTGGAGCACTTGGAGGAATGATAATTGGAGATGCAATCTCAGATGTTGGAGGAGGTTATGATGGTGGATTTGGTGATGTTGGTGGATTTGATTTCTGATTCTTTTTTTATTTTTAATTCGAGTGTTTTTATTTCATGAGTAGAAATTAGTTCTTGTGAAAATTGTAATACTATGAATTTTTTGATGACATAAATAAAGCAACATTTAAACATAATATTCCATGAATGTATTATCCATTTTGAGTTTTGATTATTTTGGTTCTCTAACTTCTTTCGATCAACTGTTTCATTGTGGGGGACTGCTATGACAAATACTACTACTACTGTAGGTAGGACCATCATGAGGACAGGCCCAACCTTGAGTCACACTTAACAATGGCTTTATGTGCAGAGGTAACTGAGAAGGAAATTTATGATGGGCTCTGTTCTATAGGTGATGATAAGGCATCAGGGGTAGATGGATACAATGCTGTTTTTTTTTAAGAAGGCATGGCTAGTAATTAAACATGACATCAATGAAGCAGTAATGGAGTTCTTCACGACTGGTAACCTTTACAAAGCTGTTAATTGTACTGTTGTTACACTGCTTCCTAAGGTACCAAACACATCCAACATTAAAGAATATAGGCCCATAGCTTGTTGTACTGTCTTGTATAAATTCATAGTAAAAGTGTTGGCTAATCGAATCCAAAAGGTGATAGCAACTGTGATTTCAAAAACTCAGGCTGGATTTATTCCTAAAAGGGGCAGTTAACATCATCCTTGCACATGAGCTAGTCCAAGCCTATAATAGGAAAAATGTCTCACCTAGATGCATGATAAAGGTGGATATCCAAAAAGCCTATGACACTGTTGATCGGAGATACTTAGAGCAAGTAATGGCAGGTTTGGGATTCCCAAAGAAGTTTATTGATTGGGTGATGCAATGTGCAACTATTGTTTCCTACTCTTTCTTGATCAATGGAGAACTGACTAAACCTTTTGAGACAGCTAGAGGGCTAAGGCAAGGAGATCCTGTGTCTCCTTTTTTGTTTGCTATAGTAATGGAGTATTTGACCAGGAATTTAAATGATTTGGCAAATCACAAGCAATTCAAATATTATCCAAAGTGCAGCAGGCTCAAGATTACACCTAAGTTTTGCAGATGATCTACTGATGTTTGCAAGAGGAGATTCAATATCTATACACATGTTACATGATAAATTCAATGTATTCACAGCAGCTTCAGGATTACAAGCTAATCTATCTAAAAGTGTCATGTATTTTGGAGGGGTTTCAAGTAAGGTTCAGAGGCAAATCCAACAGGACTTGGGGTACAGTTTTGGTGTGTTACCTTTCAGATATCTAGGGGTGCCATTGGCCACCAAGAAACTTAGCATTGCTCAATGGCAACCTTTGATGGATCGAATTGTAGCAAGGATCTACTCCTGGACAGCTAAAAAGTTATCTTATGCAAGGAGAATACAATTAGTTAGGACAGTGATATTTGGAGTGCAAGCTTATTGGGTTCAAATATTTGTGCTGCCAGCTAAAGTGATGAAAATAATCCAAGCATACTGTAGAAGTTATATTTGGTCAGAAGCAAATGTGATCACTAAGAAGGCACTTGTATCATGGGACAAGATGTGTACACCAAAATCTACTGGAGGGCTTAATCTGGTAAATCTAAAAGTGTGGAACAAAGCAGCCATCCTAAAAATGTTCTGGGACATAGAACAAAAACAAGACAGGCTATGGATTAAATAGATTCACAGCTATTACATCAAAGGGCAAAGTATGGAGGAGATCAGAGTGCCTAATCAAGCTTGTTGGATGGTCAGGAAGGTTCTAGGGATGAAAGATTCGCTGCATCTACTGCATAATGGAGCTGCGGGAAAGAAAAGTGTGATTAGACAAGCTTATCAGCAAATGCTTGGCAGTATCCAAAGGTTGAATGGAGAGGCCTTATTTGTCGAAACTCTGCAAGGCCAAAAGCAATTTTTACACTATGGTTGCAGGTTCAAAATAGGCTCCTCACAACGGACAGACTGCTAAAATGGAGAATACAAGTGGATCCTATGTGTGTTATGTGTCACCAAGTAGTAGAAATAAGAGATCACTTGTTCTTCGATTGTATGTTTGCTAGCATGCTGTGGAGGAGACTGCTCCAATGGATAAATCAACCACCTAGGCCTAGTAGTACCATTATTACAAGACACCAATGGATCATATTGAAGACTAAAGAGAGAAGTCAACAAGCTCAAGCCCTGAAGTTGATCTATACAGAATATATATATGCAATATGGAAAGAGAGGAATACAAGAATCATTGAGAAACATGAGACCACAGTGGAGGTTATAGCCCGAATAATTGCTTCTGTGTGTTGTGTTAGAGCAAATGTAGCAGCCAAGCTATTCCTAGATAATTGTAGTTTTTAGAGTCTGTTGATTTTGTTAGTTGCAGCTAACTAGTTTTATTGAGATAGCTAGTAGAGTAATGTTGGCTTAGTTTTGTAAACACTACTTTGGTGATTAAGAAAAGTTCTAATTACCAAAAATAAAAAAAATAAAATTGTTTCATTGTGATACATAATTGATGCATGGATGAAATTCTAAACTGATGAGGATTGAATGTAAGCACTTTCATTTAGGGATGGCAATGGGGCGGTGTAAGGCGGGGGCGGAGCGGGTTGAGCTTAATTCATAAAAATTTTAATCCGCCCCGTTCCGTATGAACCTGCCCCGCATAATTTTTTTCATATTTTCTTTTTCTAGTTATGTTTGATACTAAAAATAAGTTCATTTTTTCATTAAGTTTTATTAATTTAATAGGATAGTGACTTAAAATTTTATTTTGTAGAGGTCAATTGGGAAACATGTAAGAAATTGTATTATTTTTTATTGAGCCATTTTTATTTATTATCTTAAATATTTTAGTAGCTTTAATGAAATTATCTTAATAAATAATGTTCTATCACTCTTATAACATGTAAAAAGTTAAAATTAAGTTTGAACTCACATAAAATCACATATACCCGCAATCCACCTCGTCCCACATTAATTTTAAAAAAATTCACTTCAACCCACCCAGCATCCGTCCCGCCCCCATTGCCATCCCTACTTTCATCAACTTTGCTTCGCAACTAAGATTATAAGGGCGGATTTATGTAGGTCGGCTGGGCTGCCATGCCTCGCAATGGTCTCAGTATATATATTTATAATGAAATGTATAAATATTAAACGTGATATTCTTAGAAATAATAAGGACTTAATATTTTACAAGGTTATTGAACTATGAAAAATTATCTTATAAAATATATTTTATGCTATGTAATCATGGCCACACAAATAAATAAAATTATAAAATATATTTATTAATATACCCACCTACCCACCCACAAATTGCCTTCTTCTAAAGGACTAAAACCCTATTTCTCTTGCCAAATTTCCCGCTTCTTCTACTTTCTCTATTTTTCCCAAAATTCTCATCTACAAAGAGGCACTGTAAAATCTATTTTAAGGTTGTTGATGCTGAAATTTTTCATAAATAATGAATTCCTTAATTTCTTCGAGGAATAATGTGATGAAATTTGTATAAATAAGCAAAACACAAGTAAATGGATTCCTTCATTTCTTCAGTGGCAATATAGTCTGTGCCATTGAATTTAACATTTATTTTCAATGTTGAATAGAATTTTTTATTGTTGGTGATAAAAAGGAAATTTTACTTGTCTGTAATAGTCTCAAAAAAAAAAAAGGGTACGGATTTTATTGCAAAAACAAAATTTAAGAGTGGAAGACATAAAAATGACTAAATTTTATAATTTTGTTTGTTTGTGGGGTCCATGATTACATGACATTAAAATAAATAAATTTTATAATTTTATTTATTTATGGGGTCCATGATTACATGGCATAAAAAATAATTTAATTTGTCATGTCAAATTTGTTTTAATGATAAATGCAGTTTAATGATTTTAGAAAATAAAAGTGTTAAGTTGAGTGATTTAAGTGAAATAAAATAAAGTTTAGTGATTTTACAAGATAATTTTTCATAATTTAGTAACCTTTTGAGATATTAACTCAAACAATAAGGAGCGTTTGGTAGGATGCAAGTGGTTAAAGCTCAAATTTATTGCCTGCATTCCAAACACTTTTCAAGTTTTTAAAGAAGTGACTCGATGAAAAATCACACATGAATTATTCATGAATCTAAAAGTTGACCAAAAAAAATCACACATGAATTTTACATCATAATGTACTATCATTCAAATCACAAGTGTTGATACTAGGTAAATACAAAATCGATCTCGAAAGAAGAATTTCGAGAATCAATTCGATCATTAATAAAATCAACTAATGTATGGACACTTGCAACAATAACATTAGTAATATACTACTCCCTCTATCCCAATTTATGTGACACATTTCATTTTTCGAGAGTCAAACAATTTAAATTTGTCTGAAAATTTCTGCATAAAATCTTAATACTTTTGAAATGAAATTATATATTTGTAAACTATGTAAAAAGTATTGTAAGTCACAATAATTGACAATTCAAAATATTTAAAAGATATATACAAAATTATGGTCAAAGAGAAACTTGTTTAAATCTCGATATCCAAAATGTGTCACATAATATGAAACGAAGAGAGAGTAATATATAAGTATATAACAAATAATCATTAAGCTCATATGAAGACAAACTACCACTCACACGTTGTTCATTCAAAATGTTTGAAGTGTTGGTTTAACTATTGTACCTTCAAGTTCACAAGAATATTCTTCTTTACCTTGAGAAACAACTTCCGTTGCCATTTTCTCAAATTTTTGACCAAAGTAAGCTATTATAAAAATTAATTTATCAAAATAATATGTTTTTTAAAAATTTTACAAAACTAGTATAAATATAGTTCACAGTAACGTTTTAGGTTATATTTTATTCAAAAAAATGAATAATAAAAAGACAAAAATTTGACAGAGTAAACAGACATAAAACGTTATTGTCAGTAACGTTTTATAATTCATTACTCTGAAGCACGTTTTACAGCTAAAACGTGACTCACAATAACGTTTTTTTCTGGAATGACTGAAAATTAAAGAACAATCTTGTACATGCCTCATTCAGCTTTATTAAACTTTCCACTATTAAAATGAATATATATATATTTTACACACACACACACACACACACACATATATATATATATATATATATATATATATATATATATATT